AAAGGTTCTGTGAACTATAGGGAAGATTCCATCAAAGATTCCATCACTCATTGTGGAGTAGCCGTCATTAACTCTGCCATTAGAACGGCCGCTGATAAGAGGACACAGTAAATCCACGTAAAAACATTCCACAGGCAAACAATTTCAGAATAACGCCAAAAAATTATTCTGTAACCACCATAGAACGATTCTTAATACAAAACTTCGCTAACTATCGAACGATGGCTGAGATTTGGACAGATAAAAACAGCCTTCCAAAATCTCCGACAGAACTTGAAAAAGTCGGACCGACTTTTTCAAGTTCCGAAGTTTGTTTTCATTGGCTCGCACATGCGTGTGGGGTGACATAGCCCCTTTAAACATAGCATTGTTAAACGTATTTTAGTATTTAAACGGTAGGCATCTTTTTATCCCCTAAAAATTTTTCATCTGTTCGGATTTCCTAGCTGAAGGTCAAGTTATCCGAAAACTATAAGGATCAAAACTTACCTTTACGAAAGTTTGAGCCAGAAAAAAGACTCCCGAAAATTCTAGGCGACCTTTTTAGGGTAAAAATCCGTTAAAAATGGGCAATTATAACATTTTTTAGATGTTCGAAAATCCTAGGAGAGGTAGGCAAGAAAGAAATTTTACAAAAAATGTTCCGAAAATTAATTATTAAATAGTACGGCTTTCCTGAAGACTAAACAAAGGCGTCCGAAAAATGTGCTTGCAGTGCCGCATCGCTGATTTATTTGATCAGTCTGGCCGTTTCCAAATGGCATTCAATTTGGCCGGTCAGGGAACTCTTGGAAGAGAAATTTTTTAACAACACATAGTTTAAAACACATAGTTTAAGTAAGTTGCAACTAAAGGTAACATTGATATATTATGGTCAAAGGCAACCAAACTTTTCCGTTGTGACGGACTAATGATTCTTTGTGGAAACATGATGACAAGCGAGCCTTGGAAACGTGCACGACGGTCATCTGAATTGACCGATTGCGCACTTTAAAACAAAGGAAGTGTTGACAACATAGTTCAGGACCGAAGATCGGAAACTATAAGAAATCCCTGGAACTTATTACTCGCACGTCATCGTGTGTTCATCTCATATAACATTTTATTCCGACAGGAGCAATTAACACAATCAAAATATGCGTTTGTCTCCTCTAACGATAACCGAAACCTCCGTAAATACATCATCGATTTTATTGTAAAAATTACAAATGTCTTTTCAAACAGAGCATGCGCAACTTCAGAACACTCGGCCACTTTACTCAAATTTATTTACATTGTGTTAGCCTGCGTAGCAAGCGTTTCCTCGCGAGGTTCGTCTAGAAAGCTGGGACAAGAGCAAAAAAAACATGAATGACGGGGGAGGGGGAGGGGAACGAATAAAAGGGAGAGGCGGAAATGACGTACAACATAAAAACTGGAAACGAAAAATACTAAGGATATGGATTACAATCAGATTCGTCACGGCGGTTTAAGCGACGCGTCAAGGACAGATTTAACGAACACAGACGTGCAGTCGACAAAACTAACATTAAATCTAAACCCACTACTGTTTCTGAACACTTTCTCTCTCACTCTAACCATTATCATACTGACATACAGTTAATCCCACTAGAGAAAATTCATTCTTCACGTGACTCATTTCGTAAAGCCAGGGAGTCGCATTTGATAGATAAGGCCATGACTCTTGAAGCTCATGGCCTAAACCGCCGTGATAAATTATTGTAATCCATATCCTTCGTATTTTTCCTTTCCAGTTTTTATGTTGTACGTCATTTCCGCCTCTCCCTTTTATTGCGACATTCTCCATCTATATAATATTGTGACTGCTACATAAGTTCAGTAACATCTGTAAACCTGAAGAAGGTTGGTATGGCCAGCCGAAATATTGTTATAAAAAACAATACACGCTGTTTTAAATCAGCTTTGCTGTAGTCTTCGGACTTCTCGTTCTTGTTCTTTATATTTTGGCTGATTTGATCTCTTCTCTAGAGATCCAACGTTTACAACTAGCAGGATCTTCGTCCACGGTTTTTGCAGTTAATTTAATCCTTTATTAAATACTTAGGATTAGTTATTGACTGCTTTTTGTCTTGGCATGATCATATTGACCACATCAGTAGTAAAATCAGCAAAAGTGTAAATATAATCGCAAAACTGAAACGACATGTAACAACCCAGTCTTTGATAAGTATCTACTATGCACTTGTCTACCCCTATTTAAACTACGGTTGCATTCTATGGGGTAATAATTACGAAGCTTTAGTATATGTATCACAATTAGTAAAGTTACAGAACAAAGTTGTGAGAGTCATTAATAGAGAGATTAAGATTCACGTTTACGCCAAACGGCAAACGTGAATTTGTACCACGTGACCAAGTTTCCCCCTTATTTTCCGTTTACTCTTTATTGCTTCTACGCAAAAATAAGTAGTTTTATCCCAGTTTTAACCATAGGAATCGTTCGGGACTGTTTTTATCTGCTTATTTTCTATTCTGAGAAATTCTCAACTTGAGTCCGACGTTTGTCGTTTGCGGTAACCGTGAATCTTAATCTCTCTAATAACTTTCCATTTCGTGATCATATTACGCCTCATTATGCAAACCTTGGCCTAATTAAGCTTCCTGACATTGTTAAGCTAAAAACCTGTCAGCTGATTTACGATCACTTTGTAGATAAAAAGCCGTCTAATTTCACGCTGGCCTCGGTATCTGAGCAACATAATTATGACACAAGAAGTGCATCCCTGCAACACCTAAATCCCAGTATAGTAGCTTTAGAATAAATTTAAGAACATTCTGTCCAACAGTCATAGGATGCTATTATTGGAATGATATTCCTTTATCTATACGTGAAAAAACAACTAAAAAAATTGTTTAAAAGAGCACTTTTCAACTATTATCTTGCTCAGTATTAATCATCGCCACACCGACTCTCAAATGTTATATTTTTTATGTGTGTGTGTGTATGTGCTTTTTTTTCCCTCTCTTTTGAATATTTTTCATATATTTTTCATAGTTTATAGGGTTTATACTTTTCTCTTTTTTTCTCTTTTAACCTAAATAAAACTGTAATTTAATCAAAGGGAAAGTAATTAGTTTAACTATATCCTGCCCTCTCCTTTTATTCTTGTAAACGGATATTTAATTCTACAAATAGCATCTTTAATTCTTCAATCTTGTAATACAATATAAATGGCTTGTAAAATAAATAAATGGAGGAAAAAATAAACAAAAATAAACAAACAAAACTCGCACTTAGGAGTTTAGATCACAATAACATTACAATGACACTCGCTTACTCAGCTAAAACATATTAATCTTTAAATTTCCACTTGGTGCGCAAGTGATTTCATAATGCCATGGTGTCTGATTCACAGAATCACAGGCGTGCCACCTAGTGTTTCTGTTGCTTTAAAAATTGCACTTAGGAGTTTAGATCACCATGGCATTACAATAACACTCGCTTACTCAAGCTAAGACATATTAACCTTTAAATTTCCACTTGGTGCGCAAGTGATTTCATAATGCCGTGGTGTCTGATTCACAGAACTACGTGCGTGCCACCTAGTGTTTCTGTTGCTTTAAAAATTGCTCTTAGGAGTTTAGATCACCATGGCATTACAATACTGACTCGCTTATTCGAGCTAAAACATATCAGACATATTAACCATTAATTTTCTTCTGTGCGCAAGTGATTTCATAATACCGTGGTGTCTAACTCACAGATTCACGGGCGTGCTACCTAGTGTTTCTGTTGCTTTAAAAATTGGTCCTAGGAGTTTAGATCACCATGGCATTACAATAACACTCGCTTACTCAAGCTAAAAAATCAGACATATTAAACATTAATTTTCTTCTGTGCGCAAGTGATTTCATAATACCGTGGTGTCTAACTCACAGAATCACGGGCGCGCCACCTAGTGTTTCTGTTGCTTTAAAAATTGCTCTTAGGAGTTTAGATCACCATGGCATTACAATAACCCTCGCTTACTCAAGCTAAGACATATTAACCTTCAAAATTTTCACTTAGTGCGCAAGTGATTTCATAATGCCATGGTGTCTGATTCACAGAATCACGGGCGTGCCACCTAGTGTTTCTGTTACTTTAAAAATTGCACTTAGGAGTTTAGATCACCATGACATTACAATAACACTCGCTTACTCGAGCTAAAACATATTAACCTGTAAATTTCCACTTGGTGCGCAAGCGATTTCATAATGCCGTGGTGTCTAACTCACAGAATCACGGGCGTGCCACCTAGTGTTTCTGTTGCTTTAAAAATAGCACTTAAGAGTTTAGAACACCATGGCATTACAGTAACACTCGCTTACTCGAGCTAAAACATATCACACATATTAACCCTTAATTTTCTTCTGTGCGCAAGTGATTTCATTTTCCTCCAATACATAGCTTTTCTTGACTGGATAACGAGTTAAATAGCGGCAGCGGCGAGACTTGGTAATTTTTGGCGGGCTTTGGGCACGTTTTCGCGGGCTGACGATTTCACTATTCGACCGAATCCATTTGATCGCTTGGTCTTTGTGTTTTCTGCCTCTACTATGACATCTTTAGGAATTTAGGCCGAGTTACTGCTAGCAATAGTATTTCCGCAAATCCGTCATTAAATAACGGAGATTTTTTTATGTAACCCGTTTGCACACGCTTTACATCATTGACAGCAAATCTCAGGTATATGTTAAATTGAAATCTCTTCTCTAATTACTCTGTCGCCAGATGCCGCCTTAATCTTGTTAAAAAATGTATTTACTGACCAAACGGTGAGGAAAATAATTGCTTTTCGCAATAGAAGGTTTATTGGTTGTCACTCAAAACCTAGCATCCTTAACAACGCCGGCGTCATGTGGTGTGCAACATGCGGGTCCTCATGATATATGGAAACAACACGTTCGTGACGTCAGAGAGTGCAGAAGGCAAATGAATATAAATGAAATAATGCACTATCAGACTGTGGCTATGAAAAACCTGCTGACGGTAGAGTATGACTCGCGTTAAGACATCATTTGTGAGCGTATCTCGTATTAAGACGTCATTTGTGATAGTTGCTGGCCTCACCGCCCTGAATGTAATTTTGCTTCTTTTCTATTTCTCTGGTCGCCAACGTACTAAGGCGCTCCCGGAACAGTTGCTGGTGAATAAAGTTGAAACCGACGCGAAAACAAACCACTTCTTTAAAGGTTTGAATCGGCATACATGGGAAGGGAGGTGCCTACAAAGTCTCGAAAAACTTTGCAGTTTTCCAATCTTTCCCAAGGCACCAGATAGACGAGGCATCGTGGAAAATGTTAACATCTCTTCAAATGCAAAACAAGTTACCGGCCTTCGCTTGCTGGGTTTTCTTCGACCGAATGTGACTGGCGAATATTTTTTCACCGTTGAGACTAATGGATTTGTGGAGGTTTGGCTAAGTAAAAGCATTAGTTGGAAAGAGGGAGCGAACATCGCACAAGGCTACCCAACAGGCAAGCTTCCGAAAGATGAATCTCTAGAATCTTCTAACTTAAGTGTGAAGTTGTTAGCCCAACATGCGTATTATATAGACATAGTGTATGCCCGGGGCGAAATTAGAAATAATAATGGTCCTCAAGTAAAACTTGCCTGGAAAAGACCCGATAAAAATGTCTTTGAAGTTATCCCTGGGGACTTTTTTGCTCTGTTCAAAAATGACATTGACATGGCTGAAATGAAAGTTTACGATGACGATTTGCCTGACGTACTTGCCTGTGAATCAATACGCCTTAAATTTGCAGGCGAACACATGAAGCCGGAGAGGATCACTTACTTAGAAAGCTCAGCAGTGAGGAACGCATTAAATTTTTGCGATTACAAACCCAGTTATCTTCTTAATCCGGCAAACGTAGCCGGTTTTAGACAATATCAAGGAGTTTTTAAACATGCCCACAAAACGTATACTTTACCCTATTCAAGTGTCGATGGAATAACAAGGGGAAGAGGAGGAGCAGCATTTTTGGCTGAATTTCCTTTGGAAGAACGAGAAGCTCGCTCGGTAGTCGACAGATACACAGCTGCACTTGAGAAACGTTACGCAGGGTGAGTCGCTTGTTTATAATGTCTTACAAGGATACTGCTTTGTCAACAATGAAAGGCAGCACAATCGCAAGTATTTTTCTGGGGGGAGGGGGTTCTAAGAAATGCTATAGAGATCCAACTAGCCCTATATGAAACGAGGAAATCCAAGCCAAGAGTTAAGAGTGAACTACGCAAACAGCAATATACTGTGACACTTTTTGACTGGAATCATTTGGCACATACATAATAGTTCTTTGTCAAACGCAAAAATTTATGTGTTACTGTACAGTTTTTGCTTTGTTTTATTTTTTAACTACCCCGGGGACTTATATTTGGAGGGGCGATTTAACGGAGGGTTTTTTGCGTTACGAGTTTGGGGGGCTAATATTTGGAGGGGCTTATTTTCGGAATTTTACGGTATTTCCCAAGGTTTTCCAAAATTTCAAACATCCCTCCGTCTAATATTTTAAAAACACTTGAGAAAACACCCAAAAATTCTCAAAAACTAATTGAACCAAGGACTCCCATTATGGCTCTTGATCAAATATTGGTTAAATATTTAAGAAAAAGGACGGAAATATTCAAAAAACAGCCCCCAGACTGCCCCCTTAATAACAAGCTCGCGGTGAAAAGCGTTTATTTAACACATAAGACAGTACTTGATAGATTAACAGTCTTTATACTGCAGGAAATACAAATTCAACACCATCAAGCGCGTGGAGATGAAAGACGATCCTAAGAAAGGGAAGAGATATCTACTTGAGCTTGTCATTAAGGATATCACTGATGGGACACACTACTTATTGTCAGAATATGTCTTTGTACCTCATGGAAAAAACGCTTCTTTTTTATGTTATCCTGACGCTCTGCAGTGGAACAGGACAGCTGATGTCTACTTAATACTCACGGCTAAGAATCTGGGTCGATGGGTTCATCATTTTATAAAGAATGTTGAAAAGATCGTGCAAGAAACAAATGATGATCATTTGCACGTTGTTATATATGACTTTGGAAGCCCCGATATTGATATTAAAAAGGCTTTACAAAGAAGCATCTTAAAGAATTACCATTTTATCATAAATCCTGGACCCTATTCGAGGACTAAGTCCTTCAGTGAGGCTATAAAATCTGTTGATGATCCAGACGCTATTGTTGTTACTATAGATCTTCATCTTGATATTGGAAGTCAGACCATAAGTGATATACGTAAGGTAAGATTTCTGCCAATATAAGCCTACACCGTCCATAATGTAATCCGGATAAATCTGAAATTGACGCCTTCGCCTCGAAAACGTTTTAAAAGGTTTCCCCCAACACTGTTAATTTGGACATCATGCTGTGACGTAAGTACATTAGAAAATATGACCGGGATCGGGATTGGCCGATAAAAACGTTCGGGATTTCGGGATAAAGGGAAAATTTTGGTCGGGATGGTGGGATTTAAAAACCCTATTGGGGACCCTTGCTCATAGAAGGGTAGACCACACATTTCAAATTGATCCGGGTAATTGTGGACGGCGTCATGGATAGCTAGAAGAGAGTGACTATCAACCATCTTAAACATACTAAAAATAACAGTTTTTCTTGCCAGTTTCTGTACCACTTTAACTAAAGTGTTTAATGTTCCGGCAGAGTAGTTGGCACGCGAGGCTTTTCTTGGGTCACAATAAACCATAAGGTAGTTACTGATCTACGGGAGAATCAACTTAGTAACAGGTAAACATCGTCCTCCGATTGGTCTTTCACCTTTGTCTAATCTATTACCTTATTTTGATTTCAGCATTGTTTCAAAGGAATCACAGTCTACGCTCCTCAAATCATCTTTCTGCATTGTGGTGGCAGTAGCAATATGCCCCTAGGCGTCTGGTATCACTATAGTTATGGCACGATAGCAATGTACAAAAGGGATTGGGAATCCTTCGGAGGGTTTTCAAAAAAATTCCTCAACAAAGACACGTGGGGTGGTGAGGATTGGGATATAATTGACGGTGCAGTTAAGGGAGGACTGGAAATAGAACGCAAGCGTGCGCCATGGATTTTTCACTACCAACACAACAAAGCGGGAATGTGGCAAAGAAATTAGATGACCTCCTTTGTTGTGCGATACAGGACGCTTGAATTTCCAGGCTTTTTGCGTGACACGCGCGGGCATTTAGCTGGCGACTGGGAAAGCTCTTATGTGGGTTAAAAACATTAAGGATTTTTGGAGATTTTGCTATCTAAACATTCCTTGTCTTAGAATGAATATTACTTTAATCTTTATGAGTTCCTCAAGCGAAGAATTAACGAATAAGTAAGAAAACTCAAAAACAGTAGTTTCTGTTGGTTTCAGGCGGCCATATTTGTGCCCCTGAAAGGGACACAAACATGGCGTCTCCATACAAACAAGGTCGTAACTGGGTATATGGGATCAGGGATCAGCAGCAAAAAATTGGGTGGGATCAGAGATCACAGCGCCGGGATCTGGGATCACAAGCCGTGGGATCGGGATCAGCATCACTGTAAGGGGATCAGGGATCCGGTTTTCCGACGTAACAACAAAGACCACAAAATTCTGAAATGCGCCTTAATTGGAGGATTAACCTGCCAACATTTTTCACTTCAGTTGTATTATTGCTGTAACATTTCGATCCGGTACAAAACTGTACTAATGCAATTCGCTTGTCTGCAAAACGTGGAGATACTTTTCTTGAATTTGAAGATATTTATCTTATGTTGCTTTTTTTAACACATTACTTACTCTCTGCTTGTTGACCTGTTGACTCAGTT